CCGCAGCTCCCGGTCCCGGCGGCCTCCCCATCCCGGTGGGACCCCGGCCAAGTTGGCATCCTGCTACCCGGCACCACCACCCAGCCCACGCCCCGCAGCCTGGCACCCAAAACAAGCCTGCATCCTACAGCACGGTGCCCGAAACCCCGAAGCGCAGCACCAAACCCGCCCTGCACCCTGCCTGGCCCTGCTCAGTGGGGCACCCATCATCTCCACCCAAGCCTGCACCGCCACGGGGCCAGTGCCCAGGGAGGGCCAGGGACACCTGGAGCTGGTGCTGCCAGGCTGAGCCGAGCCAGAGCCCCGGGTGAAGCCCTGGGCCAGCACAGCTCTCCCGGGGGGTCTTGAGGCTTTTGCTGGGGTCCAGATCACTGTGGAGCCTCCAGGAAGAGCTGCACTTGACCCCAGTGCAGGCAACTGTGGGCCACACAAGGCAGAGGGACCAGCAGCTGCCCCAGGCTCTCTGGGCCGGATCCAGTTGTGCAGGTCTTTGCCAGCACAGGAGCCCCCATGGACCTCCCCAGAGCCCAGCTTCACTACCCCAGCCTTCACCCAGCACCCACCCACTCTGCTCACCACTAAACCCCCACCTGTGCCCTGCTGGTGCCTGGCACAGCCAATGCCAGCTGGCCCAGCACCAGTGTCCCCACCACACTGGCAGAAATACAGACCTACGGCCCGCCCAGGCAGCCCACCCCCCAACCACAGGTACCCCTGTGCCACAGGCACTGCTTCTACCCTACTTGCAGCATTAATTTTGCTCTAGCAGGGATGAGGCGAAGGGGCCTTAGCCTGGTTTCCATCTCTGCTGGAGGCTTTGGCTGTGCAGGGGGATACTTTGTGTGGACCTTGCTCAAGTCACTGTCCCCTGCCTGTGGCCTAGCTCACCCCCACTCTGGCAGCAGCTGCCTGCACAGCAAGTACCCCAGTCCTTAAAATAAACCTTAACAAGCAGGAGGGGAAAGGACTCGTTCCTCTCGCCCAGTACATTCATGCCTCAAAGGCACAAACAGCTGCTCCCAGAGCCCCAGGCCCCCTGAGCCAGTTCAATATTCATGGCTACCCCTTCCCCAGGACCCCCGATGAAACAGCAACTTCACAACCACCAGAGCAGAGCCAGGGCTGTCATCAATCTCTTTAATGAAGATTAAAAATAATAGTATAAAAAAATCAATTCCGGAGCACTGCCCTTTATTTTTTCAGAGATAATCCCCCTTTATTTTGCTCCTGCTTTTTTAAACTTTGAAAGTGGCCTTTTTTGGAGCTTATTGTTTCCTAAACCCCTGGACATGTGCTGGAGCCCAGTGGAGGGGCTACCCCACAGCACTGGCACCTGCCACCACTGCCCCTGCCCATGGTGTCCCTGCCAGGGGACAGAATGCCACAGGGCCCTGGAGCTCAGCACAGGGATGATCCTGCTCCATCCTGCTCGTGGGGAGGTTTCCACTGTCCTACTCACACTGCCTGTGGTCTGTGTGGTCGAGGTGTCCCTCAGGCAAGGCACAAGCACTCACTTTGCTGCCTGTGGGCACTGCCAAGGCCCTGAGCAGAGCAGGATGAGCTGTGGCTGCTGGCGCAGGACCTGGCTGCCCCGTGACACTCACTGGTCCCACCCTGTGCCCAGAACAGCCCTGTGAAGGGATGGGTCTGCCAGTGAGTGCCCAGGGCCTGGAGCAGGGTTGGGATATGCTGCACATCCTGCTCCATTCCCATGGGCAGCACTGAGCAACGTGCCCACTGGCACCTGCTGCCACCGCGGAGCATGGGCATGGTCAAGCTCTGTCTGCTCCACTCAGCAAAACCCTCTGGGGTTGGGCACCCTCACCCCACATCCCTTGTCCCACTGCCCTCCTGGGGGGGGCAGGCCAAGCAAACTCCAGGAGTGGGGGGAGGGCTGATGGACCCTCGACCTGCCCTAGGAGATGACAGAGCTTTGGACAAGCTGCAGCAGCCGCTCCTCCCGCAGGACCCTGGGCATGAGACCAGGGGGCCCCCGTGCCTCCCGCAGCCGGGCGAAGGCTCCAGCCCCCACCAGGTGCAGGCGCAGGGGCCCAATGCTGCCCTTGAAGCGGAAGGATTTATAGAGAGGAAAATCCTCCTGGAGGCACTGGTCCAGCTGCGGAGAGAGGGCGGGGGGAGCAGCCGTCACGGCC